GGCTAAGTAGATAGATTGAGAATGTGACTACCATTGGTATTATTAGAATGCTTAAATTGTTAAAAACAGGCATTGGATATGTTTGATTTACAGCCGTTATGCTGCTGAAATTTCTACATATATAACCTCACCCGTTTTTGTTTTGGTGAACCATAGGAGCGATTTCAATCGCTTAGGGGTGAGTCACAGTCTAGTACCGACAACTCTCCCCCTGATGAGGCATCTCTTTGGGAGCAGAGTATTGAAAGACGGAGGAAGGGTCACATCTTTGGTTTTAGGACCTCCCAGGATCCCTCTTATGTTATGATAGGTAGATGTAGTAGTAGCACTGGGATATCATACGAGTCAACAGTGGAGGTATGTTGGTTATATTACTTTCTCATTACTAAAATTGCGAACAAATTACTGATTTTGTCGAATATTGAATATTTACAGGTAACAGAGTTGAGAGAGAAGTTGGCAAGGGTAGAGGAGGAACTGGAGACCGAACAGAAGAATAGGACAAACTTGGAGGCCAGACAAGCTGCCTTGTCAGCCGAACAGGCTAGACAAGCTGCCTCATCAGCCGAACAGACTAGACAAGCTGCTACGTTAGTCGAACAGGCCGCCTTATCGGAACATTTTGTTGTGTTTATACGGCAATCAAGATACGTTTTCTCCCCTACCCCACCTCCTGGTAGTTAGATGGTATGAATTTGAACATTTAATTGTATGCGTTGGATATTTTAAATTGTATGAAATGGTTGGTTTTAATTTGTTCACAGTTTTGGTTTGTTATATTATGGCCATGTTTTGTATAAATAAATACAGGAATATGTAATTATAAAAAATTATTTTTAGATTAATACAAATTAGCGACGGATTAGCGAGTAAAAATCCGTCGTTGAAAGTCCCTCGTTGATCCGTCACTGAAAGTTTCCTCGCTGATCAGTCGCTGAATCTTTTCTCTCGCTGATCCGTCGCTGAAAGTAACCTTCGCAAATCCGTCCCTGATTTCCGTTGTTGATAACATTACCTACGAGCTTTTATCCAACGAACTATCAGCGAAGGAAGACCTATTTAGCGACGGCTTTGAGAGGGTTTTTTCCCTCGCTGATACTCTTCATTTTTGTAGTGGGTAGAACCACATCATATTCGCCTCTCTCTCTCTCTCTAACATTTTTGTATTTTCTTCGAGTACAGAGAATTTGAACCTTGACACTAACAAATGTAATAAGTGTTGATAACAATGAGCTTCAATTTTTTTGAGTTGATATCTACCTTATATGAATTGACCTATTTGTGCATGGTTCATCTTTATTTGTGCATGGTTCATCTTGTGTGTGTTAACAAGAAAGTAATGAATCGAAAGCGATAGGTAACAAGTAATGTTGAACTTCTAGCTTTTGTTTTAATTTTATGTTTGTTGGGACCTTTAAAGTTTTGTAAAACTATCTATACTATATTATAAAGGGAAGTTACCCAAAATAGTCTTTTTATACACCGTCTATTAACAAAATGACCACTTTTTGAAAGTTTTTTTTCCACAAAATGACCACCAAAATCACCCTTGGAGGGCGATTTTAACTATTTTGGGGCGATTTTGACTATAAGATACGAATGGGTAAATCAGATATTATATCTGAAAATGGGCAAATCGCCCTCAAAAAGTGAAAATAGCCCCATCCGCTCTACTTCGTCTTCTAGTGAAGAGAACTTTTGATGCAATGATTTGACACATGAATGACTATTTGACGAGACATTAGGGGCGATTTTCATTAGTATTTTGTCTTTTTTATGACCAAATGTAATATATATATATATATATATATATATAAATCTTGTAGTATTCTCTATAAAATCGTAGTGATCCAAACACTTCTACTGTCACAACTCTTAACTCGCCATGTTGAACATACATGATCCATTATCACTTTGACGTGATTTCATATTTGTGGTAAAGGGTTGTGATGGTTGATTGTGTTTAAGGGTTAAAAATTGTGAGAGTAGAAATGTTTGGATCACTACAATTTTATAGAGAATATTACAAGATCTATATATATATATATATATATATATATATATATATATATATACTACATTTGGTCTTAAAAAGACAAAATACCAATGAAAATCGCCCCCAATGTCTCGCCAAATCGTCATTGATGTACCAAATCGTTGCGTCATAAGTTGTCTTCACTAGAAGATGAAATAGATGTCAAAATCGCCCTTATGGGGCAATTTGGACAAAATGAGGGCAATTTCATGTATATCAAATATAATATCTAATTTTTGTTCCCCAAATTGTATACATGTGGGACTCATCTGTACCTTATAGTCAAAATCGCCCTCCATGGGTAATTTTGGTGGTCATTTTGCTTTGAAAGATGGTTATTTTGTTAGCGTACCGTGTATAAAATGATCATTCTGGGTAATTTCCCTATTATAAAACATTTGGGTTAAACTCTTAAAAACCATTTTTAGTGCATTACGTACCGTTCGATTATGCATATTACATAAAATTTAAGATTACACGTAGATAGTGAAAGAGTACAATTTTCAAAGCTATATGTTTGAATTCATACAACTAACTGATGAACGTAATGAAATATAGAATAAACATCTAATTTTAAATATAAAGAATTTAAAACATAATTAGGATAATCATTAAATTCTAATAAAATATTTAATTAGTATCCTTATAAGAACATTATGTTATATAAATTATTTCGTTACTAAACTTAAATCAAATTATAATTAAAAAATTGAACTAAAAATTATCTTTATAAAAAAACATTAAATTTCTAAACATAATAATTATTTTGTTGTTAAATCTAAATTAAATTACAAACGTTACATCATTCCATGATGTTTACTTACAAAAGTCTACTAGCATTCATTGTTTTCATCTTATAAAGCCTAATTTCTTTCACTACTTCTAACTCAAAAGCATGCATCTTTAATTGGCTTAAAATTGCATGCCCACATATAGGGGTGTTCAAAAATCCGACCAACCCGATCAACCCAATCCAATCCAACGCGAAATAACCCAATCCGAAGCAACCCGATGTCTAATTGAGTTGTAAAAAATTTCAAACCATAGGTATTAGGTTGATATCGGGTTACTATTATTTGAACCTAACCCGATGAACCCGATATCCTTTTATTTCTTATATTTAATATGATTGTTGAATTTCTATTAATATATATATTAGACAATTACACTATCATATATGCTTTTCATATACACATATTTTCAATCTATTCATATATATGTTAAATAACTGTGAACATATATATGTAAATTGAGAAACTTAATTGAATGTGATATACGTAAGAAATATGGATAAGTTGTATCAAATGGTTGATGATGATAAATAAATTATGAGTAGAGAAATAACATATTTAAGGTTAGAAGAATATTTTAATATACCAAAGTATCAACCCGACTAACCCGACCAACCCGTACGGGTTGGGTTGCACTTTGGTTTGGGTTAATTTGGGTTAAGTTTTTTCCAAACCGCAAACATTGGGTTGAGTTGTTCAAATGTCTTCAACCCGATCAACCAAACCCATGAACACCCTCACATATATGTATGGTGATCCATTGAACGTTTCAATAAATCATGAATGACTAAAATGCATTAGTCAAATCTAACTGATGTTCTTATACATATGTTTTTATCGCACTATTATGTGTGTATGATGGGATTAAACATGGTTCTAAGGTGCCACAAATATGATTATCAAATTGAAGTGTTTTTAGGCCGCCAACAAGATGAGTTAAACACAAAATTGTGAACGTATAGTCTTATAAATTGTTTCTTCTTGTTTGTCTGTATGGTTTTGTAAATTGTTTCTTCTTGTTTGTCTTGTATGTATAAGACCAGAAGAAACAATAGTAAACATATGAAAACGGTATTTTTCAAGATGTCATTAGAGTATTGTTTGTATAGGTAGTGTATGCACATCTGTATTAATTATTGAAATAAGACAACCTCGTGTATTTTTGCGAGTCAAATCAAACCTCTAATAACAATAAATACTATAACGGGACGTTTGCTCTGATGGAATGAATTTTAGGGATTTTGATTTTGTGGAAGGGACTTGGATTTGGAATGGAACTGAATTTCATTGTTAATGATTAACTTGTAATAACAAATTACAAAAATAATTAGATTACTTTTTTATTAATCGATTATTAGAAACCAACTGTTTTTAACATATGTTTAAACATTATTACATATAAATCCTACAAAATTCAGTCAAATCCTAACCACTCATATGGGATTTCCTATTTTTGATGAATTTCAACGAAATCCTATGATTCCAAATTCGAGCAAACCTGCATACCAACATATGATTAAAATGAATTTGAATTCCAAATTCCTCAAAAAGAACTTCATTCCTACAAACTAAACGAACCTTAAATATCCAACGACTTATTAGTAAAAAAATTAGAACATCAAATTTTTCTTTTTCTGAAATGAGATTTTATGTTACTTAAAAAACAATCATATTTTTTTATTAACCTGGATATCCAACCCGCTATGCGAGCCAACTAATCTCAGGATGACCACCTGTTTTGCACGTATCCCGGCGTCATCGCATTTGAACCTCCGTGGTTACACGGAGATTTTTGTTCCTCCTTGGATTTGAACCTGAGACCTCCTGACACTTTTGATCTTTAGGGCCAAGCTCAGACCAATCAGACACCATTCTTATGGTTAAAACAATCATAATTTAATGATTTAAAAACCAAATCAGTTTATTATTAACATGTGCCAATAATTAACATGCAACAAATGGATTGATTCAACGACACATGGCATAATTAATTAGTATCCGAAAGCATGGTATTAAATCATTAAAAAAATATATAATAGCTTATGATTGATCAGACTTTTTGCATCTCCCGTTGAAAAGAATCAAACAATTCCTACTTGCCCACCTCTCCTCTCTTTCCTTATATACGTGTTTATGAATCCATCGTCCTTCATCTCTTTTGTAGTCCAACAAACATGGCTCTTGAGCTCTGCCTCTTGTTTCCTATCTTCATAATTGTAGGGTTCATGCAGCTTCAACCATTTGTAGCCGCGAGTGAACCGCAACTTCCTTGCTACTTCATATTTGGAGACTCACTGGTCGATAGCGGCAACAACAATGAATTAATGACGGCAGCAAAAGCGAATTACAAGCCTTATGGGGTTGATTTTCCACAAGGTGTCAATGGTAGATTCACCAATGGTCGAACTATTGCAGATATCATCGGTCTCTTTCCCTCTCTCATTTAGTCATTTGTTTCACATAATATAAATTAACATTACATCTTTAAGAATATTATTTGTGTTCGTCGGTATTATCACAAATTATTGATGTTTTCTACCATTTTTTTTAAACATCTGTTTTCTACTTTTCTTCCTACAAACTTCATTATATTGTAACTATTAATGATATATTTTGAGCATTTTATGTAAAATAATTTTTCGAATAAATGCTCCTTCGTCACAAACAAATTCGAGATTTCAGTTTGTGTTGTCCCATTTTTTTAAGTTTTCCCCTTTTAGTTCGTTAACTATCGAAGTTATACCTATTTTTGGAATTGGTAATTAGTATTTCAAATAACTAATTTTGATTCTAATCTTTATATTTATTTTGTATTTGTGGAGATAAACTTTAGATATTTAATGATAATAAGTAGTTATATATATTGTTGATGTCATACATGTTAGACATCTAAATAAAATAAAAAGGGATGACAAGAATACTGAGTTAAAAAAAATGGTTTGCTTTATTTCAGGTCAACTTTTAGGTTTTCCCAATTTCATTCCACCATACGCTACTGCAACGGACCAAGAGATCAACACAGGAGTAAACTATGGCAGTGGTAGTGCTGGTATTCGAGAGGAATCTGGAAGTCATCTGGTAACCACCATTACGTCAACTGATACCCGTAGTTTATATTTTTTTTTGGTTCTCCTAAAAAACCCTAAAAATCATGCACATTTGTGAAGAGATCTTCCTTTCTTAATTTCGCAAGCTCACTTTTACATGTGAAGTTTATGTGGAATAGAAAAAAGTTTAAAAAAAAATTCACACCTTAACTGTTCCTGTTCAAGGACGTCCGTGAAAAACGTTTTGGGATTCACGACATTTATATTCTAGGTGTGTAGTCACATTCAAACATTCTAGGCCAGACAAGATCAAAATTAAGATTAGACGGAAATGAAACTCTCCCAACATATATATGTCAACAACGTCCCATCTATGTTTACTGATTTTCCTTTTCTGATGTCAAATTAAAAACCATACTAAAGTTTTCGCCATGATCGTATTTCATCTCTCTTGTAAAACCTCTATTTTATGTGGTTTGTGTTTAACTTCATGGCAGGGTGATCGGATCAGCTTGGATAGACAGTTAATTAATCATCGAAAAACGATTTCACGCCTTTCGATCTTGCAAGGCAACAAAACATTTACCCATGAGTACCTACAAAAATGTATCTACTTATCAAATATTGGAAGTAATGACTACATCAACAACTATTTGATCCCTAACATTTACCCCACGAGCAACATATATACCAACGATCAATATGCAGCAGTCCTCGTGCAACAATATTCTCAACAATTAAAGGCACACATACTTTGCCTGATTTTCTGTAGCATGCATCTTTTTTCATCATTATGATATAGTGATATTCCCTTTCAAGTATATATAATACGGTTCAAATGTTGTCACTATTCTTATTTATGCATGAATCGTTTTGACGTATGACAGACTCTGTACAATTTGGGAGCTAGGAAGATTGTTGTGTTTGGTCTGGGTAATATAGGTTGTGCGCCGGCTATGATTGCACGGTTTGGCACCGGTGGAAAACCATGCGTTGAGTCAATCATTGATGCGGTCAAGCTATTTAATGAAAGGCTTAAGGCTCTTGTTGATGAGCTCAACAAAGATTACTTTGATGCAAGATTCACTTTCATCAACCTAGAAAGCATTTCAGCACCACAAGGAGGTAAGCAGGAATAGAAAAGTTTCCAATTTATGGTATTTATTTCGATAATAATTATATACAGATTAAAGTTTCTCAATGATAATACTTCAAGAAAATATTTGGATTTTGCAGATGTAGCGATATTGCCAAATAGTCCTTGTTGTCAAGTAAGGGCAGATGGACAATGCCTTCTAAACTCTCGTCCTTGCCCTATTCGGGCTTTATCTGTTTTCTATGATGGTTTTCATCCCTCCGAAATTACAAACACAGTCGTTGCAACAAGATCTTACATCGCAATCTCTCCGATGGATGCATCTCCTTACGATATTAGTCATTTGGCTCGACTTTGAGATTGAACAGATTCCATGATACAAGTTGTTTTGCATTCTTTGTATGCTTGACGAATAAGCAATACCAATGACGTAATAACATCATATCATGTGGTTTTGTTTACTTCTTATTACGAAAAAAGTTACCTTTATTTTTGGTGACTTTTAGGTAGGATTTGTTGGATCTTGCTACCTTGTTGCATTTTAATTATGTAAGCAAACTAACTAACATGAAAGGAAATTTCAAAAATCACGGCATAAATTTCATGGGTTGATGTGTGAACGAGATAAAGTGCCGGCATATAACAGTTCCAACCTCAACCCATGCATTGATCTGAAACTAATCTCAATCAAAAGTTCTTCGGTTTTTCTTTAAGTAATTGAAGTACCGAAAATCAGTAATATTAAAGAACGCAACACATGTGAATTGAATTACATGGATGCAATAATATAGTACTAAAAATACATAGCAACAAAATGTTCGAACAAACAATAAAAGTAAAGTACTTGTTGTACGGACTATTCAATAACTTCATTTTGATATATAAATTGTAGAAGTGATGTTATTTGAGAGCAAACGCTCTAACAAATTGTTGCATACACCAAAATAAATAATAAAAGCAAAATACTCTTTAAAAATTAAAGCCTTTTAGCTATATTTTGTATGTATTAATCATTTTTCCATTTTTCAATATAAACAAAGTGGTATATGAAAAACCAATTTGAACGAAAAATAGAGTCTGAAATTGAAAAAGTTGACACATGCGGACGAAATTAATTAATACTTGTTTTATCCTAAAATAAATATTTACGATATAAAATAAATATAGTTTAAAAATGTTATAGTTTTGATAATTCGTGTATTGTCCCTTCTCATTCCTCAATATTTATAGCAATACAATTTACATTTAGGTACCACCGACTATGCTAAGTATTGAAAATATCATACATAATAATATAGACTAATACACCCCCGCAGTCTAAGGTGGAGGTTCCCGTAAGCTTAGGCTGGATCTAAAATCATCAAAAAGAACTCGGGGTAGGCCTTTAGTGAATGTCTGAAAAATTGTGCCGAGACGGTACATGAAGGACTCGAACGGGGCCACGTTGCACTTTCTCGCGAACAAAGTGAATATCCACCTCCACGTGTTTTGTCCGTTGATGTTGAACCGGATTGCCGGAGAGGTAAACAGCACTGATGTTGTCTGTAAAAACGAGAGAAGCACGGCGGAGAGGGCAATGTAGTTCAAGAAGGAGATTACGGAGCCAACAGATCTCGGCCACAACGTTGGCCACCCCTCTGTATTCAGCCTCAGCACTGGAACGGGAAACAACTGACTGTCGTTTGGAAGACCAGGAGATGAGGTTGTC